TTTCGAGCCATACTAATTAAATTTAATTGCCATTAAAAATCTATATAATATTGACATTTTTTGATTTATTGAAAATTATATTTATTTTAAATATTCTTCTAGATGGTGTCGAATATATACTACAGATTATGTATATATGGAATTCAAATTTATTTTAATTTTATTATTTATGAAACTCTTGAAATAATTTACTAACACATTTTAGATTATATTGGAATTTAGAATAGATGCAAAAGCCAAGTTTAAAATAACTTCTCGATAGTTGTTCATGAAATATACAATTTTAGACTACACTTACTAAAATTCTGTTTTTTATTTTAAAGAGTTTTACACGTCAAACTACGTATGCTCAAATTACAGTTAAATATGATGCAGATGAAAACTTTGAACTACTTTGTTTTGAAAATCAGATAAACAGCATCATATATATAAATGCAAACATAAATGTTGTAAATTTTTTTAATATAACATTAATAACAATTGTTGATCGTGAATATTATAGTCCAATAAAATTACTTTTTTAACTAATTTAATACATTGAAAATATTTGAAGGAATAAATAAACTGTATTGAAATATTTTATCTGTTGGTACATATTTTCTTTTGAATAATGTTGTAAAACATCGTACATTTTATAAAGGAAAAACGATTTTATATTTATTATAATATATCTAGGTATATATATATATATATATATATATATATATATATATATATATATTAAACAATTAGAAGTGATTATAGCATAAAATTTAATTTTACTTTTTTATTTTAGCCTTTAAATTTCCTTAATAAAAGTAATTTATTCTCCAATAATAAACATTTATATTTAGACGTCAAAAACACGTTTATATTTTCATGTAATTTAATAGAAGCATCAGTAAAAAATTTTAATTATATTATTAAAGTTGAAATTAATTATTGTTGAAGCTTTAAATAAAGAATATATTCACGCATAATAATATTGTATTTAATTCTAAATTTTCTTCTAATTCCAATTTTGGCATACGTTGCTTATTATTTTCTAATGTTGAAATTTAGAAATCGAAATATTATTTTGAATGTAAATTTGAAGCGTGTTTGAAAGAACATCAATTTAAATATTCTATTTATTTTAGTTCAACCATTTGACGCTTGGTAGATAAATTTAAATATTTACAGTTACAAAGTATACAAATACAATACTCTTGCGTGCGCTTGGTGAATGTGTGAGTGCGTCTGTTTCCGCGTGAACGGACGTGCTCGCACCCGTGTGTTGTTTATAATATCAAAAGAAACAAGTAAATATTTTAAATAATATAGGAATTGAATGCCGATAAAAGCAAGAACGCTGACAAGGTTATATTGAACAAACATCGGTAAACAGGATAAACTTCGAAATTGTCATACTACATGTATGACTAATTTATGTCAATTGTGACATTATTTAAGCAAAGATGTATTCAAAGAAATTGTATAATTACTTTTAATTAATTTCAGGAATAATTATGCAATGAGCAAATATCTTTTGAAAGATTTGAAGAATGTGGCTTTTGCTAGGAATGAAAATGTATGTGAGGTGTCTATCAAACTCACACCATGAAACATCTAACTCAAGAAAAATTGAGTAACATATAACATTATATCTTAAAATAAAAACGATAGTCTCCTGAGCTTTGAAGGCCAACGTATGTACAAAAGAATCATAAAAGCTGAGTAGTCGAGTTGCAAAGTTGATAAGTTTATTTTTCAAATATTGTAGAATAGTTTGTTTATTCGGGAAATTCTATACTAATACGTAAAATCGCTATTAAGATAAAAATATTTATGATCTGCGACACTTCGTATTTAATATTTTTGCATTAATGGTAGTTTTTCAAAGTTTAGGTACATTAAATTTATGCAAAACTTCTAAATTACTGTTTGTAAATTATAGTATCTGATCTACAAATAAGATGAAGTACATTTTACATACTTATTACATCATTTAATAACATAAAAGTGATCTACGTATTCTTTATTTTGTTATATTTATTTATGTTGTTACAAAACAAACCATTTTGTAATAAAAAATAAATACAGAATATATACGTATATATATAGAATAAAATAAAAAAATTCGATTATTACTGAATTATCAGACAACAGCTCATATATATATTTTTAAATATTGTTTAGTAATAAGCTCAAAACTGAAATTTAATAATATTTTTATTTGATCTACAGTATCAGACATTTAAAATTATTATCATTTTAATTAATTGATTTAATTTTCATTAGAATTAGATGACACCTTGTTCTTGTTAAACTTGCATAATATTTTCAAACTTGAAGAATATCTTTAAATTTAAAAATTCTTCAATGTTGAATGTGACATTATTCGAGAAATTGAAATTCTAAATAACCGTTTATCATAAGTTTCTGAAATTTAATATCAACATTAAATCTTTTATATTCATTAACCAGTTTATAAAAAATAAAACTATGTAACCAATTACTTTTTCACTCGGGGGATGTGCTACTTCATTAAAGATATTAAACATAGATAAACCATAATAAGCCGCCAAATAAAAATCAAGTATAAAATAAATGCATTACAGAACAATTTGCAAGGTACCGTAATCGCTGCTGCAAGAAACAGCTTTCTTGCTTTTGGATTTCGGCCGAGGGACCTGAAAGAGCTTCTTCGAGCGGAAATCGCACTGGGGTTATACTTACTCTTGCAAGTTTTTCGACCAAGATGGCGTCTCTCGTGAGATTTCGAGAAAACGAGAGAAGCTGTAGCTTCCTTGTGTAAAAGAAAGTAACCATGTAAAAGGAACGAGATAGCGTGATTGAACGAGTGTCTATGTGTATATATCAGAAAGAGTGAGAGAGAGAGGGGGGGGGGTGAGAGAGATAGCGTGTGAACGCGTGAGAGTGGCCACGGGTGGAAATTGGAGATAGAGACAGAGAAAAAAATGTAATGTAGCTAAGAAAAGGCCGGGAAAGTCTTGATTTCCTCTTAACCTCGAAATCCACTGAGGAAAACAGAGACTGAAAAGAGAGAGAGGGTAAAGCCGCCGAGTGGAAGTTTGCAATGAATAATTGAGCCCTTGGGTATACACGGCAAGACAAACCGAACCTGTCGGTGCGACCAACGAGAATCGTCACAACTTTAGACGGTTTTATTTTCATTTTATTTCAGCTTAAGCTAAATTTTATTTCTCTGCTAATTATCAAAATTTAAAAATTGTTCTTAAATTAAATTGTTTGTCGCTTAAAGTAAGACAAACAAGAATATCTACAGTTATAATCCCATCCTTTATCGTATATATATATGTTTAATAGTATATTTTAGAAAATGTTAAAATAATAATAGAATAAAATATTACTAATTATCATGAAGAATTTTATAGTTCTCAATTTTGTTGTCGTATAACGTAATGTCTTCTTTTTTTATATAGTGTATATCATTCAATTTAAAAGATGAAAGTATAATTTATTCAGCGATAAAGCAAGAAAAAACTAACAAACAAATATAATGCCCTAAGCTTTTAAGCATTTTATTATATCGATGATGTTGAAAGATTTTTTTAACTTTGGACAATAAAATTCCCTTTTAAGATTTTATTTTATTTTAGCGATTTACTACTTCTAATTATAAAAGTGTTTATGTGCACGGGTAACCAGTATCTAAAGGTTGACCCAAATTACTAATGCGACAAGCAATAGGTGACAATTGATAGTAAGCAATACGTGATAATCATTTCTATAAACATGGTAGAAAGATTAGAAAAAAAATATCTCCCAAATCAAATTAGAATATATATGGTCAAGTTGTTTGTATGCTAAATTCAATTTGATGAGCTCATTCAGTAATGTAATAAAATTAATTCATAAAGAAAAGATATAATTAACTGCAATGTTCCATATTGATATGCTCTATTCGTAAAACTATTATAAACAATGAATCATTTTTATCAATTTAAAAATAATTTCATAAATATTTATTTATATTTTCAATTTATATGACAAGAATTAATGCACACATTGGTTTACATACATTACATACATTGGTTTATTTGTTTATAAGATGCATATATTTATCAAAGATTGTTCGTAACATTTATCGGTAATGCGTAATATTAGTTGTGAAGAATCCAAATCAATCCTTGTGATTCTAAAATTTCCTCTTTTCATATTATGTTAAAAAAGTATTTTTCACATTTTCATATTTTCAGTAATCGAGAGAATATAAAAAATTTATCAGCAAATTTAATAATATTAAATTATTTATAAATTTATAATGTAATGAATATGTTGATTCAAAGTTAATGGCTTTTTTGTGCAATAAAATAATTGAATGCACATTATCAAATAAATAAAATATTGAAGATATAATATGCTTCTTGAAAGTAGTTTAGAATTCAAATATTCTTGATAAATTATATATTTTATAAAAAATTATTTCACTTTTCTAATTAGATAACTATTTTTTATATAATATAGAATTTATAATATAGAATATATAATATAAATCAAATATAAAATGAGGAATAGTCCATAGTAATTTTTTATATTTATATTTCATCTGATATACGGCCAAAGGTCGTAAATAATTCACATTTCAAAAATTGATTTATCATTAAAAAAATCTTGCTACTTATCTGAAATCCAATATTTAATTACTTTAATATATTTTACAGATATATCAAATAATGAAATTTTATATTTGAATGAAATCAGGATGAAATCAATTTAAAAAAGTTTTTAAAAACTTTTACGGAAAGATAAATTATAAACATAAAGACAGAATATCAATTTTTATTTAAAGCACAAGAAAATTACACTATTATGTATCTCTACCTTGACTTCGAGAGAAATTACCTAATCATTTTCAATTGTTGATAAAATTTCTCGCCACTTAAACATCAAATAATTGTGACATAAACAAAAATTCATTAAACTTCTAGATAAAAATTAATTCTTTCAATAAAATTAATAAACGAAATCTAAGTAAAATTTGATTTATACCGCAGTGACATTCAAGTTATTTACAATGTCAATCAAAGATAATTTCATAGAAATTTTGATTATATTTTCAATCATTATTTTACCTTCATTACAAAACTCACACGGATACAAATTAGCATCAGTTAGTGTGGTAATTATAATTTCATATACTTATATATATATCTATTGAATTTATAAGTCATAGATAACATTTTTAGGTATTTAGACATGGTGATCGTAGTCCTGATGAAATATACAAAAATGAAGAGTATACAGAAAACGATTATTACCCAGAAGGTTTGGGTGGTCTAATTAATGTACGTAAGCTTACCAATATTTTCATAAATATAAAGACAATATAAGTGAAATTAAATATTTAATAAATTTTTTTTATTTAGAATGGCAAAAAGAGAGCGTATGATTTAGGAAATTTTTTGCGAAAAACCTATAATGCATTTCTAGGAGACTTATATATCCCTTCGGATGTTTATGCACGCAGTACCGATTTTGATAGGACCCAAATGAGTCTACTCCTCGTTCTCGCTGGACTTTATCCTCCGAAGAAACAGCAGCTTTGGAATTCTCAACTTAACTGGCAGCCCATACCAATAAAAATTATACCATTAAATACCGATCCATTTCTTTCTATATTCAATTGTCCAGCGTGCGTTATTTTATAAAAATAAATTCTATAGTGAATAATGTCAATTATGTTTAATTTAATGGGAATATATTCATATGAAATTTATTTTTTAGATTTTTAAATGAAATAAATCGTCTCATAACTGATCCTGAATTTATCAAAGTTTATAACGAAGATTCTGTTTTTAAAGAAAAAATTCGAAATTATACGGGAATAGAACATCTAGGTCTGTTGGAATATGCACAGATTTATGTACATTTGCAAGCTCAAGAAGCAATGGGCTTGGAAATCCCACAATGGTTGAATGAATATTATCCAACGGGACTTTTAAAAGTTTTAACTATAACTTCATATAAGATATTTAATTATAATAATCTATTGACAAAACTGAATGGAGGTAAATTATGTGTAATACTTTAATGATCTACTTACAGATTATAGTTCACAAATGTAACAGAGTTAATGTTAAAGGTACAATTCTTAAAATTATCTTGAAAGATTTATTGACTATGAATATAGATAAGGAAAGGCCAAAAATCTTTCTATATAGTGGACATGATCTTAATGTTATTTCACTTTTATCAGCATTAAATTTGTGGGAGCCATTTCCACCACAATATTCAAGTGCAGTTATTCTGGAAAGGTGGGAAAAGAATTCCGAGATATACATAAAAGTGCGTATTTAAAGAAAGAAAAATTATTTCAGGAAAATCATTATATAGGGCTTGAAATAAAAATACATTCACTTACTTAATTATGCGTTGTTCTTAATAATTATCTATTCAGCCATTAATGTAATAATCTATGCATTATAATCACAGCAGATATATAAATAATGTATCAAAATTTTAATACTTTTTTTTATATTAAATTATAAAAATATGAATATATCGATTGATAACATTTTATATTACCACGACAAATAAAACAAAAATTAAATCCTCACTTTTGCAGGTTTTAATGTTCAAAGGAATTCCGAAAGAAGTTATGACACTGATAATTCCTAACTGTACTGAATTATGTCCTTTGAAAGAAATAAATAGAAAATTCTCAGATTTATTATTGGACACTGATAATATAGATTGCTTTAGCAGCATATAAGTGAAGAAAAAATTCAAGATATAATAGAAAAAAATATGAAATATTTACTGTAAATGCTAAATAAAATTATTTATTTACCTAATTAAATGTCATGGTTCGTTATTATTTGAATTAATTTTTAATTAGAAGATTTCTTATTAAACGTAAAATAGTTATATTTAATAATACTTAATTATATTTAAGTAATATTATTTATCTTCGAAATATATATGAAATTGAAGTTAATGGGTTAGTAAATGATCAAGTAAGAACTAGTCTAATAATAATAAATCATTATTTAAGACTTAATTTAAAAGCCTTGATTCTAATACTGATAATGACTGTCTTTGATAAATCTGTTAGTAGAAAAAAAAAATTTGTAGAAAACCGTTATTTAGACTTGATAAATATTTTATTTTCACGGACTCTTTCAATCTTGTATAAGCACAAACATATTATGAATTGGACTGTATCGATTCTAAATTTTTTGATTAATTTATTTATTATAATTAAGAACAATTATTTACGATTTAATGTCATAATAATAAAATATTTATTAACTTTATTTATAATTAAATTTATATTATCAATTAATGTTAAAAAATTGACATGTGCTGTACTACTTAAATATTCAACATTTCCTAATATCATTATAAATAAAGTTGTCGATTATAAATTTCACTTTGTATGAAATATTTTTATATAATATAAATATTATACGTAATTTAATATTAAAATCATAAATACTTCGATATATTATTGAATATTACAGTATAATTACTTTGAAAATATTTCCAATTTAAATTATAATAGATTATGTATTATTTTGCAATATAAAAGCTAATCATAATGGCTAATCACCTCTTTATTATCTAATTAGACTTAAAAATTAACATGAGAAGTGATCTATATCAATATTCATAAATTATTCAAAGAACATACTATTAACGACAATAACACTATAGCAACATCATACATAAAAATAATAAATACAAATAGTAATGAATATGACTGTATATCATGAGTTATGTAATCAACAAATGATTCTAATTATTTATTTATATAGATGTAATATTAAACATAAATTGTATGGTTATAATTATAGTATATTATATAGAGAAAATAATGGAGAGACTGAAATGGACGTAGAAA